CCGGGCATTCGCTCGCAGCTCCACTTGCAGCACATCCATAGACATGCAGCGTTCATTTAACTCCTGTAACTCGGACTGAATCTTTTCGATAAAGTCATCCTTCTGGTGAATTTGAGCCTGCAGCCCATTGAGTTCTGCATTCAAATCAGACAATCTGGTTTTAAGCGCATCTATTTCTTGCTGGGGCACGCTGTCGTCGCTCATCAGAGTTTGTGTACTATTGGACATGAGCAGACTCTCATTGATGGTGTTCTCTTTGACCTTCTCCTGCAACTCCTCGCAGACCATAGTCATTTCGGCGTGCTGCTTCTCGAGCGATTCGATTTGCCGCTGATAGTCCTCCACTTTGTTGACTATCACTGACTTTTCCAGTAGCGCCGACTCCAAATTAGTCATTTGTTCACGCATCTCGTTAATTGTGCTTTCGGTGGCATCTATGAGCGTATTTTTCTCGGCAACTTCACTTTCTAGCCTAGCAATATGTGCAAGCAGCTGTTGTGTTCTCTGCTCGTTTTCTTCTGCGCTTTTTGTGGCCACCTGTTGCTGCTGCAGTTCCTCTTGCAGCGCACTGCACTGATCCCGCAAGCTATCACCGTCTTGCATGCTCTCAATTAACTGAATGGATAAAACCTCGTATTCGCGTTGCATCTCGCCATATTTGGCCTCCAATTGGGCTAGCTTCTCCATCAGCTCCTCATTGTGCGCCTTCAATCGCTCGACCATCGTTGCCTTCTCGTTGCTATCTGAATTTGTCGTCTGCATGAGCGTTTGTTGTATCTGCTCGAAAGATTCTTTTAATGTGCTGATTTCTTGCTGCAAGCTAACATTTTGGCTTTGCAGCTTCTTATGTTGATCCTCCGTGGCTGCTGATGTGCGTTCAAGAGTCTCATAATCCTGCTGCAGTTTCTTGTACTTTTCTTGAATGGCATCATACTCCGCCTGCATGCTTTGTATGATCTGGTCGTGGCGCTGTTGCGCGTTCTCCAGATCGTCGCATTTCTCCTGCAGCAAACCCTTGGCTTCCTCAGCAGAAATAACATCGCGGCTCAGACGGTCGTACAGCTCCGACTTTTCAGCCATATCACTAGTCATCTGCTTGTAGGCGTTCTGCACGCTCTCCAGCTGTGCACGCGTGTTGGCGATTTCTGAACGCAGTTGCTCGCATTTACAGTCAATGGACTGTGCAGCGTCACCATTGGGCGACTCCTTCTTGTACTCCTGCAACAGGCGTTCCAGGTCTATACACTTATCACAGATACGCTCGCAGCTGGTTTCAAGTTCGGGACACATGGAACGCATTTGATCCTCCTTACTGTTGCGCAGCACATCCTTGGACAATTGCTTGAGCGTCTTTTCCAAGTTGACAATGGCGTCTTCCTTTTCGGATAGCACCGATAGTAGCTCATTCTCTCGGAGCTTTGATTTCGTTTTATGGGTTTCAAACTGAAATTCCAAACCGACAGCAGAACGATTTTCCATCTCCAGCCTTTCAATCGTTTGCTTCAGCAACTTCAGCTCCTCTTCGTATGCCTCTATTTTTGTATCAGCTGTTTGCTTTGACTTGCCCAGAGCATCTACTTCGGCCTGAAGGGTTTCACAACTGGAATTTTTCAATTAAATTGGGGTAAATTAAACATTTATAGTTATGTATTATGTGAAAATGAAAATTTGTTATAAACCGATAGCGACAGTAAATACTTGCTTGCATTATCTATAAATAGTTTTAGGTTTTTGAGAAATGCACAACATAAGGAATAGTTGCAATCGGGTCCAACTTTTACGGAACCAGCATTTTGACAATTAATTATAGCGAGCTCCCTAAAAATAGAGACTGCAGCTGCAGACGCTGACAGACAGTCTTCCAGTTGAGGTCGCAGCTATAGAAAATAAACACACGCAACACTCACACACATTTGCGTACACGACTATTTACAAACTTAAAGATATTCGCTGCGCTATTGCAATCGCTTTTATTCGTATAGTTTCTACTCACACACTCGTTCGATTGTAGCCCAATTTAATTGAGAGTTACATCAGAGTCACGTTTCGAGAATTGGGAATAGAGTAGGTAAATCAAATGAAGACGTCATCGACCGACGCATGCGAACAGAAGGTGCGGCGGCGCGGAACTGTGTGGACTGTTGGACACCGAAGTTCAAAATAAACTCAACATATGGGTACATATTATAGAGCAGCAATTTATCGACGACGTCGTCAAATGGATTTAAGATCGTTTGCTTATCACACTCGCCGTTGCCCTCGCAGAGCGTCAGGGCCGAAATTATTCGCGAAACTGGCTCCCATTACCTATGTATTCCAGCGCTATCAAAACAAAGCGCACAACAATACTGTGTGAGTGGGTTATAAGCATTTCTTTATCTTCCAGCTTTGAGCTCGCGCATGCTACTTGCTCACGTCGTTCACGGCGACTGATGCAGAAAGACGACGCTACGAAATAGAAGAGATCTTATAAAAACCCAACACGAGTTGAGTTTGAGTTTGTACTTTTTCACGCGCACCTGAAGTGGTGAACTTACTTTCAAACCGCAAATTGCAGGATAGACAAGATTATTATAAAAATAAAAACTATTTGAAGGGAATTAAAGACATAGCTGAGTTGTCTAAGTAAACCATTTGTTACAGCAACTGAAGGGTATTACATAAATTTAGTTAGTATATTGACAATAATTATAATTGATCAGATAACTTAGTTAAAAAGTTACCGAAGCCCATTCTTATGTTAAGGACACTCACCGCTGCATCAGACTTAGCCGCTCGGACTGAAGCTCGTCAACTTGAGCTGTAGCCGCAACATAGTTTTGGTTCAGACTTTCCCACTCTAAATTTATGTTCTGTTCTAGCTTCTCGAACGTTGTCAGCTCTACCAGATCACGTTCAATCATTTTCTTACTATACATGGAATTTGTGCGTGGTGAAAGCAAATGAGAGCATGCATTTGGTTGTGATTGTCATGAAAGCATGAATGAAAATGATTTGCTGATCTTTTTGATATACAGGAATTACCTGTTGACGTTGCTACACTTACCCTTGATCGCCAGTTTGAGCCACGCGTGGCGTTAAGGTTAGTGGTGGCAGGATACGGCTCGTAAGCATCGCGTCTGGTACATCTCCAAAGTTGTAGTCAACGGCCGGTTTGAATTCTTCCTCTGTTATCTCAAGAGATTTCATAATATTCACAGTCTTAGGCGCGTTGAAGGGCTGGTGTTTCATATAAGAAGTCGACGGGTAGAAGCTTGGTTTAGGCAGACCCGAGTGCTTGTGCTGACCATTTGAGCCGCCCGATCCATTTGAATTTAAAGCATGCGCCTCATCAATGTGCGCTGGCTCCGGATTTGATGTGGCTGGACACCAAGTGCGTCGCCGATTCTTATTACGCTTATCCGCAATTGTGTTGCTAGTAATTATTTTCAACGAGTCCATTTTGATTCTTTGCTCCAACAAGTGAACTTTTATCTGGCTCTCGTTTCTGCGCTGTTCTTCGGCCAAACGGTCTTTGAGCTCCTTAATTTCGCGCTCCAGACGCTTCATCATGGTCGCATCCGATACAATTTCATTCAATTGTGGTTTTAAACGTATTTTCTTTGCACGCATGGCGAAATTCAATGTCGATTGAGATTCTTCCATTATTGATGGCTTAATGCTACATATAATAGAGGTAAAGGCATTGCCTCCCAGAGACGCCTGCAATATACGAGTTAGCTTTGAATCGCGGAAGTTGACGTATTTGTTTTCCTCATTCTCAGCCAAGCTCTTGATCACGTTGCTTAGAAAATGCAGACTCTTATTTATGTGCCCGCCTTCCTTAAGACGTGCCCCACGCGCACCCGTCTGATCGGCTCGCTCCGAGCCGGCCAAGTCCACCAGATTTAGCAAGCTTTGAATAACAGCATCGTCGTCGTTACGATCAGTTTTGCGCGATTCGATTATCTGCGGATCAGGAACATGAATCAATATGTACAGATTGTATACTAAAATTAAGCTTACAATGCGAAATATGGCATGCGAACGACTGGAGCGCTCGTTCATTTGGGTTTCCGCCACAGTGCGCTCCTTGTTGCCCATGCAGAGGAACTGCAGCAGATCCTCCTCGCTGGTAATGATGCACTCCTCGCAATTGACATGGACCATGCCGTTGCTTTCATGTATCTTTAGGTCTTGATTCTTCTTGTTCAGTAAGTCATAGATTTTCTCGTTGTAAATTTCTATGTAACCAACCCGTAGCAAAAAGTCCCGATCGTTGTGCCGGGCAATCTGCTTGAATATTTCCTTTGCTGCCAGTACCATGACGCCCGGATTGGCTTCGTCGCCCATCATGGTGTATGTTTTGCCCGACGACGTTTGGCCGTAAGCGAAAATGGTTCCATTAAAGCCCTTCATGCAGGCTTCCACGATGTGCTTGGCCATGCAATCGAATACAATTTGATTATTTGATTCCTGATCGAAAACATAATCTGCAAAATATTAAAAAGAAAGATAGAAAGAAAGGAGTTCAAGGGCCATCTTCGACAGCAGTCAGTCCTTGGCTCCTGCTCGTTCTTACCAAACACAAAGGGATCCGCCTGGCTGTCGATGAGTTGAATGGCTCGCCGGTCCTTCACTTGCCACAATGTGGTTTGGCCTTGCTCGCAGGGACGCACCTTGATGCAGACTTGTAAGGCGCTCTTTGCAGACATTTCAACAAAGTACAGGTAACAATTATTAAAATGGAGAACGACACTTAACGACAGGAATAATAGTTTGCACAAAACATTTACAGTTTATTTCGAAAACAATGGCGCTTCGCTGTGCTTCTTCTTCCAACTGTGCCAATCAGTGATCTATCGGGCGTCGTTGGTTCAATCGATATCTCTTCTGAAGGGTCTTATCGAACAGCTGCGGAACAGGGCTGGCGAACCGATTGGCTCGATCGGTCCGTTACGTTAAATGAATACTTTTTGAATACAGATCGTAATGCATTCTGAAAAATTAAACACCATTGGTTGTTCTTTATAACGCAGATTTATTGTAATTTTAATAAATATTAATAACCTTCTAAGCACATGGATCTCTACTTAAATTGCTTATGTAACTTGTATTTATCTAACTCATTTTATTCTAGCGACTTAACTGCATTGTGTGTGTGTGTGTGTGTGTGTGTATGTGTGAGTTGCCATAAATTCTTATTCGAATTATACAAATGCAAAAATTGCACTCTGTTGCACTGTTTAAATGAAGCAAAATAAAAGCACTTGACGTTAATAAATGTTTTCAAATGAAACATAGGCATCACATTGCGAAACAGGAAGATAATAAACAAATTTAACATATACATGTCATTACTTACAATATTTATTTATTTATAAGTAACATATATTTCTACGCATTTTCATATTCATGAATGTTAGATGACTCGTGATGAATTGTCTCCGAAGTTTTGTTCAATAAACACAATTAAATTAGGACAATATATACCCGAAATTTCGCGCTTAAATAATATGCAAGTAAATTACATTTAAATTAACTGAGGTAGAAAATTACTAAATTAACACATATCTATGTTGTAATAAGGCATCGTTTCAACTCTTGTAGAGATTTTGAAACTAACAATAAACCTAAGATAAACGCGGATTACTCAAACTGAATGTACATGCAAAAAATCGGACATATTGACATGACGAAGATGAAAGTTCGCCATTTTTAAGCATGTGGAAAGAAACCTTTTAATTTAGATGTGCAGTGGGGCTGTTATGTTTGTCTGAGGTATTTGATTCTATTACATTTTGCCCAAAACAAAGAAATTCACTTGTAATTATAGCTAAGCATTTATGTATGTATATGTAGATGCATATCAATTTGGTGTATTTTTTACTTTCGCACAGTTGTGGTTAAATAATAATCAATTTACTTTGCTTGGCGAATTTATGAAATCTTTCGACTCACTTACGGCTATGCTATATTCGAATTGGCTGAGTTTTCGCACCCAACCCAATGGAGGCCCTTAAACTAGGCAGATCTATCTGCTTTGAAATTTATATATGTATAAGCAAGTACGGCCATACAGAAAATAGTTATATATTTTACTGGAAGATATTACGAGTAGTGAGTACATGGGTTACACAATTCTTTTGCTGAGGTAGTTTGGTTTTTTTCCGGCTGTTTTGTTGCGGCAGCGCGTAATGTCATCCACGTGTATTCCTGAGATATGGTTAGCATTATCAATATATGTTGGCGACTTGAATGGTCAGGTCAGTAAGCTCTAACTGTGACATGGCACATCTGAATTGTTTCTTTGTTGTTCACAATAACACACATATAGAGATTTCAAACTGAGATGGATATTTGTTGTTGTGTCAAGAAAGCCTTTAAAAGAGTATTCAATTGGAGTATTTGTGTAGTCCGTTTAAATGCTTAGTTGTTTTTGTTTTTTTTTTTTTTGTATCCACATTGCGGGTGCGTATCTCTTACTACATTTAATAAACTATTTACAGAATTGGTTACTCATTTCAAATTGCTAACACTAATTTATATGCCTAGGTCTAGGTTTAAGTTTAGCTTTAGGTATTTTGGAGTTTAAGTTCTTCAATGATTTGAATCTATCTTGGTTCTTGCATTCCTAAACTTCATGTATACACATAACAGGTACATGTGTATATAGATGTATATAGTATATAGGATAAGTATGTATTTATATGTATGTAGGTATTCATGCTTTTTGTCCTATTCCAACTCACATACGAGTATTGGTTTAGGTAGTTATATAGGTTGTATTTGCCTTTCTTTTTTGCTTATTTTTTTTTTTTCGATTTTTAAAAACAACATAAATTCTACTAAAATTTTTCAACGCTGCACATGATATTATTTCATGATTGGTTTCTAGTCCTAGATAACTATAGTATGCATGTATTGTACACGTAAACTGGTATACATGAGGATAAGGCTACTCGTTACAAATGTTCCATTTTCTGGGTATACAACTGTTGACGACGACTTTTCAAAACGACATGCGAATATCGTATTATCGTATATTATATCGTTATATCTTTTGCTCTCTTATAAACGAACCCCTAGTTAAGTGTGAATTGCCTCTAGCTTATGTGTGGTGCACGCCCTCATCCTCTGAGTAATTCTCTTCGGCATCCGAGTTAGCTGTCTCGTTGTTGCTGCCCGACTGATTGTTTTCTAGACCCAGGCCCAAATCCATTGGTTCTGAGCCATCGCGTCTTATCTCAGCCTCTGCATCCACATCCACATCATTCGGCTCGCCACCGCCACCGCCACCGCCACCACCAGCACCGACCAAGTTTGAGTGCATGTGACCCACCGAGCCGAGTGCTATCGCTCCGTTCGCATCAGGTGAGAGGCTGCTCGCCGGATGCTGCTGGTCGCGTCTCAGAATCGGTTCAATGGACAGTCCACCACCGCTCTGAGCAAAGCCGCCAGCTGCCCCAGCACCCGCCAGCTTGCTCAGATCAAACTGAGCAGGCAGCAAGCCCGCCGGCAATTTGTCCAGGCTGTGACCCATTGCATTTAGCTGTGCCATTTTAGCGGCATGCAGTGCGGCTGCAGCTGCGTGCTCCTGCGACATGCCCATGCCTGCAGCAGACAAGAAGATAGAGATTAGTACAAAAAATGTGAAGGACTCAATGTTAGTGTGGCTTACCGAACGTATTCTCAGTGATGAACTGCAGATAGGTGTCTAGCAACGACTGGCCTGCATTGCTGTTGTTGGGCAGTTGAACCCCACCGGCTCCAGCGTTCAGGTCTTTTTGTTGGCCCAAGGCGGCCGCTGCAGCTGCTGCCGCGGCAGCCTCATTTCGCATGCGTGAAATGGTTGTGTTGGCATGTCCAAAATTGCTTAATAAACTTTCATGGTAGCGGCTTAGATCATTGGCGTTGTTGCCATACAGTACACTGCCGGTGGTCAGATCTTCGGGGTCATCGTCGGAGTCGTCAGCATCGTCCAGCGGTCCGCCGCTGGCATTGCTCAGGTCTAGCTTTTGTGAGCCATTGCCGCCGTTACCAGCACCGCCACTGCTGCCGCTACCACCAGTGGGTGAGGCGCGGGCGCGCAGCTCAGCGGGTGAAATCTTAACGCCAGCCTTGGCCAGCAGACGCGAGGCGAGATCTGGGTCAAAGGCGCTGGGCATAGGCAGCACAGGCAGATCCTTTGTGGAAATGCCGCGATGCTGGCGAGACATATGCGAGTGCAGCGAGTTACGCGACTTGGCCACCGTTCCACAAAGCACGCAACGATAGCCGGGACAGACGGTGTGCTTGTCCTCCAGGTGGGTACGCAGCGTGTGTGCCGAGCGGTAGATTTTGCCACATTTCGGGCATGGCCTCGGATCTGTAGCACGGACACGCATTTCCAAGGAACGACGCGAAACTGTAGGAAAATTTGAAAATTGAATTAGAATATAATTAGCAAATCAGTTCACAATGTCAGTGGAATGGAGAGCCCAAAAGGAGTCTGTGCAGCTCTTTAAGAATTATTTATCAATTCGCTTAACTTTTCATCGATTGCTCTTTATTATTAACCAAAACATAAATGTCTCATCCAGTCGTACATAAATTGAAGATACATTATTAGGAGCTACGTATTTCAAACAATTAGCCAACTAAAATCTTTATAAATAATATATTAAGGTTAATACGAGTTAATATAAATAAATATATATATATTTATAAATAAATGTATATATATTCATTATGGGCTATACAACTGTAAAATTGTCCGTGTCGAAATGGATAATAATATTAATTATATCGCCTACGATCGATTTTGATCGTTTAATTTTTTGTATTCAAATAAAACTCGCAGTGTAGTCAAGTTTTAATTTTTGTTAAATTTCTTTTTGGTTTTGCTTTTTGATTAACATTATAGGAACCTTTTTACGTATGTTTTCGCCAGCTCTCACTATCTACGCTTCATACTATGCGAAATTATAATTCAATCGACAATTTTGAGCTTTTCTTTTTGAATTTTCTCTAATAAAACTGCAACTCCTTCCTTATCTCTGTGTACTTGTGTGTGTGTGGCTGTGTGTGTAAATTTTCAACTTAAAATTTTATTTTCATTAATTTTTGTTTATTATTATTATTATTATTATTATTATTTTTTTGGCTAAAAATATATTACGCAGGCACATTCTATTTTGTAGTATCATTATAATTAATTATAATAACTATTTTATAATTGTTTCTGCTTGGTATTCAGCTCATTATCTACAAATATCTCCATTTCAATTCGGTTTATGCTAAAACGCTTATATTATATACTATAAATTGTGTGTAGTTGCTTTTCCTATGTACGTATAATACTGGAGTTACGAGTTACTAGTACCGTAAAGCGCCTTCTAGGGTGTAGGTTCTCAATCATTGGATTGTTGAATTATTCTACACCTCACTAAATTACAGTTAACTTGCAGCTCTGCTACGCCTCATAGGTGACAAAATGTTAATAGTAGTGTGTATACCCTACATATGGAATTATTATTATTATTATAATCATAATCATTTGGGCTCTTTACAATGTATCTCTAGCTTTGTATGTTAAACATATAAAGTTGCACATACGCAGTAGTGGAAGTACGAATATGTACTATTAAATATAGTATACTATATTGAATATAGGAACGTAATAATTGTTGTATGCCAGCTTCGCATCGTTAACGTCATCACAAGGAAGACCTTTGCCTCCAATCACTAGCCCCAGTCGAAGCCCTTACAATGCCAAGAAATTTAAAATGATTCTTATTCAGGAGGCGGCTCCTTGCAGTGCTCTTAAACTCTTCAAATTTTGATTATTTTTTGTTCTAAGCTCGAGTTGCCATTTGCTATATTAAAAAAAAAATGGTAATGGAAAACTATTTGTAAATCAAAAATGTAAAACCAGACTATATTCAAATGGCGCTTAGTTGCAATTTTTCTTTTAACTAGCAATAAAAAATGAAACCGTTTTTTTGAGAAACAATAGGATAATATTCAAATTTCTTGCTTTAGTTTTGGAACAGTTCAGTGGCCCAGGCTTAAGTAACGATCCTGGCACAGGCTTTTTGGCTATCTAAGATAGGCGCGAGTGTCCCGAGTTTAGGCTTAGAATTATTGTCGCCATTGACTGAAAGCAGCAATCTAGAAAGCTTTGTTTGGTACTAATGCGAGTATCTGCGGACATATTGAATTGGATGTGGGTACCGTTTCGTACCGTAGGGCGACACTAACTAGTTGGCCGCTTCGCTTTTGAATTTAAAATCGGGACCGCCTGCGAATGGGCCGCCCGAAGAGCGCATGGCCTTCATTTTGGCCCACTGCAGCGTGTGCTTGATACGCATATGATTGCGCACCGAATTGGGATGGGCGAAACGCCGACCGCACTCGATCACCGGACAGACGGGACTGTCGCGTGGATAGTGCCTGTCCAGATGCTGGCGAAAGACACGCTGCTCCAGCGGCGTCTCGCACAGCGGACAGGGCAGCATGTAGTTGCTGCCGGCATTACTGTTACTGCTGCTGCCGGCAGCTACACTGGCCCCATTGCCGGCACCGGCTCCACTATTGCTGGCTATGGCCGAGGCTGTGGCGGAGGCGGTTGCAGTAGCTGCTGCCGCTGCTGCAGCGGCGACTGCTGCTGCCGAGGTGTTTTGGAATATATCAGGAAAATCACGAGAGCGGCTCAGCGCGATGGTGCGCGCCATGAACAGATTGGCGGTCAGCTGTTGCTGATGGGATACGGAAACGGACTGCTGCAGTTCATCCAGATATTGCTGTTGCTGTTTTTGCTGATGCTGTTGATGCTGTTGTTGCTGTTGCTGCTGATTAATCTGTGCCTGTGCTTCGTGGCGTGGGCGATGAAGCGACGATTGTTCGCTTTGCTGTTGCTGTTGCTGTTGCAGTTGATGTTGCTGCTGCTGCTGATGCTGCTGCAGTGTCTGGTAGAGCGTCGATTCACTGGCCGGACAGGAGCGCTTCATGGTCAATGAAATAGCCGACGATGCTGAGCTGGACCGTTCATCCTGGTTGTACTCGTGCTCATCCTCGCTGTCGTTCCACGAACGCGCCGAGGGTGTTGGCGATGAGTTTGTCGAGCGATTCTTCTTGAACATGCTACGATTATTGTTACTGTTATTGTTGTGACTAATGGTATTGTTATTATTATTGTTATTATTGTTGTTGTTGCTGCGACGCTCAAAAAGCTGCGCCAGCTGCGGTCGCTGCATCAATTTGGCCAATTTGCAAGCGGCCGGTTGGCGATCCGCTGCGTGAGCCTCGTGCGGCTGCTCCTCAACAGCAACATCCATGGCCTCCTGTTTAATGGTCGCCTGCTGCGTGCTGAGGAATGTACCTGCAGTTGAATACAGTTGTGTTGCGGTGCGGGGAGAGGAAGTCAATTGGAAATCAGAAATGAGTTGGCATAGTAAAACATTTCGTTATGATGCAGATGCAACATTTCTATACGTCCTGCCCAATTTTGCTTGCATGAGTTGAGTTTGTGTGTGTGTGTGTTCGTGTGTGCATTTGGGTGTGTTTGGATGTAGCTATGACCAAGTGTGACCACATTTTCATCCACTGACAGCGTTCAGGCATTGCAGCAGCAACAACAACCACAACAGCAGAACTGAATAATCCTCCTAACTGCATTACCAATTCGAATCCAATTTTTTTCTTTTGTTTATTTTTTTTTTTGCAATACCATATTTGTTATATAATTTGTTCAAATATCTCGATTTTAATGCGTTACTATTTATTAGAGAGTGCCAATTTGGTTGTTCTCGGTTTTTGTGCTTAAATTTGGTGGGAAAACATTCAGTTCTAACAGTTAAAATTGCTTTTACTACCCGTACACACACATTGATCGTCCAGTTATTGCCAATTCGGGTCTCTTAACTTAATTATTTTTATTAAGTACACATTGAGATGAGAGTCTATGTCTATATATATATATATTTTTTACACATAAGTACATACAGATTTGTATAACAGGCAGGCAAGCAATATATATGTATTTGGCAAACGGTTCAGTAACACGAATTAAAAAACAATAAGTAAAAATAATTTAAATTAAAATTATAAATGAGCTCTTAAATTATTACAAGCAAATAAATAAATTATGCTACATATTCGATAAGGCAGAGAAACTCACAAACATTTCAATTAATTTTTTTACGTACACTCGCAATATCTGATTTACCGGAAAATAATAAAATGTTTTTGTGTTCTGGTATAATCGGGATAGAATACTTTTTATGAGCCAGGATTTGACGTTTCTTGCTTTGAGTACAAAATTCTTCAATTTTCTCTGAGAGATTGAGTGCAAATAATATTCTTAACACTTTTTTATGTTCCTTAGGTATGTTATTAATCAAAAAACTACGATGGATTAGAAGCATATATTTTGAATACGCGATGAAAGCCATTGGTAGAATAAAGATAAAGACAGGTGGGTTGGTGTAGAAAGTCGAAAAGGCACGTCACATCGCGTGCCACGGAATCATTGTTTGATCTTCATACAGATATAAGTCTTTACATGACGTGCAAGCATACCATATAACCTTTGGTGTGGAGCTGGGCTTCTGCATACGTATTTGGATATCGTTTCAATATTCGATAATAATAAATATTTGAAAAATAAAACGCAATTAAATGTGTAGAAAATTGGCTGGGCGGTGGCAGCCCCAGGCGCATATTGAGTCATTTGATGGCCAGAGATTTGCATTGCACCCAAACACACTCATGGGCGTGTCTTTGGGTGGTCAGATATATGTAGATACACACATGGAAACCCATTTAGCTGGCCTGGCCATGACGCAAGAGCTCCAAAATGAAATCAAATTAAACAATTTACTTGTGCCTTTGTGCGTGACAACTCAAGGGAGAATGCAAACAAATTTGTTGCATACATAAATATATCAAGTGAAAAATATAATAAAATGGAATAGAATAAAATTGAAAATACAATATGCAATACCAGCTATATACCTGCCACCCCACTTCGCTACCAATTTATATATATATACATATATATAATATGCACATAATGCCCACTCGGGCTGCCACATCCTAGTTTTCTTATGAGCCACTCGATTGGCTGCAGCCAAAGATGACTCTACTAGCACTAGAAGTGTAGCTGGGCTGGGGCAAAGGTGGCTCGTGTTGCCCAACACCTTTGACCAGCCATGCAGATTTTGAATGTGTCGCATTTTAGGACATCCCAAGTGCATCTAAGTGTGCATGTGTGTGTGAGTGTGTGCGTCTGGGCTGCAAATGACAACGAAAGAAAAGACCGTTTTGTTGGCGGCGGGGTGGGGCATGGTTGGGTTCAGGTCAAATCAGGCGTAAGATTTTGAACCCGCTCTCCCTTCATCAACCGCTGCTTTTGCTGCAATTTTTGTGATGTTGTCTCTTAAAAGATTTGTCTACTAATGCTTGGCTCGTACAGGTGCTTAGATTCTCTTAGAATATATTTATCTGGTTAGATTTATGAACAGGTTGCAGTGTGCGTTGGCCTGTGCGTAATGCTTCGCCAGGTGCGTCTTTCGCTGTGCATATTTAATGAAATATAAAATGCAAACTTAATTTTCCCAATAGTTGTGCACATGCATGCTATTTTTGGTTATTTCATTTCATGCGGTTAGGCAATAGACAAAACTCATATTGGTAAAAGATGCGGCAAGCTCTCCGCCTTTCATTGGCCGTGCAAATTGACCAAGTTAATCACGTCAGACTAAAACAATATATGCATATGTATTAAGTGTCTGTATAGCTGTGTTCGTATCCTGTATCTGGGCCTAAATGACCTGGGCTTGGTAGCCCGCACTCATCAATTATATCCGCATGCGAGGGCGCCGCCAGTCGCTCGCCGCTTTGCTTAAGGTGTCTCGCAATGGCGCTGGGCACATTTATGTAAGACATTCCACACACAAATCTAGAACAATTGCATGTGGCACCCCCTGGTGCGAGGCTTAATGGCTATTTAAAGTTGCTTCGATTCAGGTTCAGATTCAGATTCAGACTTTGACTCGCATGTCGCGCCGCTGTTAGCGGCAATAGAAATTAGTTTTATTAAAGACAGACCACGAGTCGGATAACATTTCCTTTTGCGCTGGCCATTATTTTTAGACCCGCAGCCCGTTGCACGCTGCCCACCCGCAATCGCCCGCGGCACTATTGCTCCATTTTGCATTTGGAAAATGGACTTGGCCGCGCAAATAATGAATTTTTCTATATAAATCACCCGCGTCAATGGGCCTGGCCCATTGATATTATAGAGCGAGTGGAATGGGTAAGCACCTCAATGTGTAAACATTTCAGTCGCATTTCGCCTCTGTCCATGGCCAGCTGAAAGGGTTGCCAAAGGGGGTGTGTCCGTGTGCCGTAGGTGTGTTTAATAGTCATTTTTCGATGTCTTGCGATCGTTATCACCTCTGCTTATTATTAATATTATTATAATGAATTTTTTTTTGCTTGCAGCAAAATGGGAGTTCTGGCTGTAGTAATTTGTTTGCCTTTGTTCTTATTGGAATTTATTACTTAATAAGTTGAAATGTTTCTGACCATTTTATGATGGTACCACAACCCCCCGGTCGGGATTTTACTTTTCGAACAATTTTTACGAGCGCGCGCTCAGCAATTTTGTTGATTTTTAGTTTTGAACTGGACGCTGTATCGCAGCTTAATTTCAGAAAGTCTCAAAGATAATAAAACTATAAAAAGAGGTCAACATCTAGAAAGCGATCCTTCCAACGGCTAGAACGGGCTGGTAACGCTTTTATTAATTTTTATGGGCCCTCTCGTGCTTGTATAAGTTTATCAGAGAATTTGCAATAAAACACGTAATACATGCGCCTCAAGTATTGCGAAGGTTCCTGACAAATTGGCGACGCAGTTTTACGAGCGTCTACCCGGCACAGTTGTGATTGAATTATTGATAAAGTGATTACACTCCGCTGACTCTCTCAGGGCGTTTTCATAAGCGCTTAAACTGGACAGGCCGTAAAAATCGTTGACCGTATTCATTAGATGGCGAGCATTGAGTTAATTAACAGCACTGCAGCAAGTATCGTGGGGATGGGAGTGGAGGTCTGGTGTGGAATGGGATGGAGCAGCGGCTGAAGATTTATCGAATACCCATTTGAGATTGGGCCCACTGTCCAGATGTCAGGCAACACACGCCGGCACAATCCATCTCTGTATTTGTTTATCTTATGGCACATACGCCACAAAAAGAATGCTGTAAGTTTTGTTGCCGAGGGTTGGAAATGGAAATTCAAGTATATGTATGTCTGTAGGGTAGGGGGCGGAACTCGATTCTTCACATAGCTGGGCACGTACGGTGACGGTACAACCAAAGCCAAAAAAAAAAAAAAAAAAAAAAAAACAAAAAAAAAACAAATGTTGTTTAAACTTTGCAAACAAGTTTGCTTGTTTTTCTTTTGTGTTGCGTTATTTTCTTCGATGTGTATGTGTGTGTGGTGGCCCGTGGACTCGCATTTTCATAGATAGCATTCGAAATTGAAAGCGAAATTGTCGTTCAGCATGTGTGACAACAGCCCAGGAGCGGACAGAAGCATCACGAGCTGTGATATATTAACTGACATCGGGCCTAACTTCAAGACCGAGCGCAGCATCTTATGTGTATGTCGGGTGGTGTCCAAAATTGGAAGTGACAATGAATGCATATCCGAAACACAAACACCACACGCACACAGGAACATTAACACACAGACGCACACATACACGTTTGCCTTGCTGGATTAGTTTTGGTTAAGCATGGGCGTTATGCTCATGCAGTCAGTGTAATTAGGTTTATAGTGCATATATAGCATACTTTTTTGGGCACACATAAAGTAACATTTGATCAAATTATAGGGAAGTTCAATTGAAAATAACTGTATTCCAAACGTTAAGTATGTACTGGATCATGGCCCAATTTGACATAGCTTAGTATTATTTTTTCAAAGAGTATTTCTGTTTCGGCTTGCCCTGCATTCCTTATATACTGTGTTTGCTTTGGCCGCTTGGCGATTTGGCGCAACTTTTTTTTTTTTTTGTGGGTGACGAATGGCGATAATGCTGTTTGTTGTTTCAACTTTGAAATGAGAAAAGTTTGAGACGGGTCGACGAGCAGTCATAAGCCATGGCAAACGATTGAAAAATTGCATATGAATGTGAGGGGCGCACAGAAACAGTGCATAGTTTACGGGGCCAAAGGGTCGTGAAATATTTCGGCATACTTTCAAAAACCGCAAGTAAACGAAATTAGCCTGCTGCACACATATATATATTCGCAACACATAGTTGCTTAGTTTAAACCCTGCTTAGATGATGCCCTCTTGCGGTAATAAATTAGTCACGGCAGAGATGTGGGCCGAGAGAACAAAAGAGACAAGACACACACACACACACACAAGCAAACAAAATACACACTCGCATATACAGATGGACAAACAAACGGGAGCCACAACATAGAATGGGTGGACAGCTGTAGCCAGGACCAAAGGAAAAAGTTAAAAAGGATAAATCGCTTGTGTTCATCGCTCTTCGCACATAATAAATGTATCTTTTACTTGCGCAGCTCGAGAAGTTGCCCAGCGTCTCCTTTGCGTTGGCGTAAGTAACTTGGCCCCAAGTGAACCGCCCAACCACCCAAAATACACAACCGAAACGAAAGAGATGGGAAGAGAGAGAGAGAGCGAGACAGAGAGAGAGAGCGAAAGGCATAGAGGCGCCCATGTGTATGTGTAGTATATAAACTTAACAGCATTTGGCTATCTTTTAGCAATTGATGTATTACACATAAAAGTTTTCAGACCCCACACATCCTCGCCATGTACTCGAATTGCTATTCCTATTTCTATTGCGCTCTAAGAATGTGTGTGCGTGTGTGTGTGTGTGTGCGTTCGAGTGAGTGTATGTATGTACAAAACGTCGACGTCCAAGACATTCACAACGGCCACGTCCGCAAACAAAACGCACGCATACAATTACAAAACTGTTACACGTATGTGAGGAAAAAGGCAAGAACTACAAGGATATGGAGAGGAAGGGGTAGCAGTGGTCGGGTTGGGACAGGACAACGGGTTGGGAGTGCAAAGGAATATTGTAAACCGACTGCAAAATAAATACAAAAACTTTTAATGCCCTCGGCTGGCGTCGCAACCGTTGAAAAATGCCCTGCTTTCCCCTTACACACACACACACACACACACACACACTCGCACACATACATTCATGCGGCGGGGGAAGGGTGAGGTAAAGACAGACGGACAGACATTGAACGTCTTCGGACTCATTGCCACTTGTAAAAAGGAACTACATACAATGACACAAGCATAACAAACACATATACACAGCACACACACACACACGCACACATGCATGCCCACAAGCACGCACACATACATATACACGCATACACAAAACAGACAAGAAAATCGCACATTCACATATGCATGCGAGTCCTCGCCCTCGTCTGCGTCCTCGCCCATAACTCATCTATCAATTTTCACGTACTTGGGCCGCAGTTGCTCTGCCTCGGTACGGGTTTGAGTTGGGGTTTGCGTTCGGGTCTGGTTCTTAAGCCTGGACCTTAGAACTTGAAATGGGGCGTCTTATTGCCAAAATGTAGCCTTTT